GAATTTCAGAAATGCCTTTTGGATACGCTCTATTCTTGCTATCGGGAGTCGATCCAAGAGTCTATGGAGATCATTTTGAAAAAGATTACTCGGAATTAAGCCAAGACTTAAGAGATTATCTATTAAACAAGATTCAACCGCTGTGGTCACATTCGTTGGAATAAGACCAAGTTTAGAAAAATTATTAGACCAGTTGATGTTGGGTAAACTAAAGTCACCTAAAGTCAACTAAAGTCAAAGATGATCATTCGCTAACTGACTATTAACTAAAGAATCAACATTATCCGCATGAGCTTTATAAATGTCAAAATTACTGTAGGGCGGGATGTACAATGCCAGTACATACAAAGATGTAAGTCCAAGGGTTATACAAACACAGAGTCTGTCCTGCATTGGGCCTCAGCGAAATGTGGTAGGCATCAAATGAAAGTCTAAAATATGGTGTTGTTCCTGATCACTGGAAAACATCTATTATTGTGCCAATTGAGAAAGTCAAGAACACAATCAGAGCCGACGAGATGAGACCAATTAATACGTTGCCAAGTGATGAAAAAATTCTTGAAACGGTAGTTAAAAAGCAACTAATAGAATATTTAGAAACTAATAAAATATTAATGCCACAACAGTCTGGTTTTAGGAAAAGGCACTCGTGTGAAACTGCACTAAACTTAGTATTAGCTCGCTGGAAAGAAGAATTGAGCAGAAATAAATGCATAGTTGCTGTCTTCTTAGACTTAAAGCGCGCATTCGAGACCATAGATCAAGAGTTACTTTTAAATAAATTGAGTAATATAGGGATACGGGGCGTTGAGCTAAAATGGTTTCAAAGTCTTATTACGAATCGTTACCAGAGAACACAGATTGGATCGTCGGTATCTGACGAAAGAAGTATAGTGGCTGGTCTACCTCAAGGCTGAGTGCTAGCACCTATATTATTTAATATATACATAAATGATATTGCCAACGGTATTAAATATTGTGATATTAATATTTTCGCTGATGACACGTTAATCATGTTAAGTGGTGACCATATTACTGATATTGTTTCAAAACTACAAGATGGTTTAAATAAAATATATAATTGGCTATGTTTAAACAAACTTAAAATAAATGTAAGTAAAACTAAATACATGGTCATATCCAGAAGAAATATTGATATGCATGAACTTCGTAATTTAAACATAAACCAACAAAAAATAGAAAGGGTGCGGAGCTTTACGTACTTGGGTATAAAAATTGATGAGATGCTACAGTTCAATGATCATATTGACTATACCGTAAGCAAAATAGCAAAAAAATGTACTTTATGCGACGTACTTGCAAATTACTGAGAAGGAAATATAAAATAATGGTATATGGATCAATAATAAAACCTCTCCTCAATTATTGTCCAACAATTTTCTTCATAATGAATGATAGCCAAATTTATAAATTGCAGAAACAACAGAACCAAGCAATGAGATCCATTCTTCGAAAACGATATGACACGCCCATTAGAGACATGTTATCAGTCCTTGGTTGGCTGAGTGTGAAACAACAGCACTTTTATTTTTAATATTTTTATTGAGATTTGTACCACGATTGTTCATTAGGAAAAATTGAAAAAGCAACAAAGTCTAAGCGGTAGAAGTTATAGCACTATTTCGGAGATCACCACATCTCCTCATCAGACTTCTTTTTTTTTCTAGACTTCAGCAGGGATCGAACCTGCGTATTCGAAGTTCAAAGTCAGAAGCGTTAACCACTGAGCTATGTACATCCCGTAAACTCTTGCTGCTAATTCATTTTCCTTATTCAACCAACTACTATCAAGTGCATCTGATTTGCCGCTATTTAAACTCGACAGCGTGGTTGTTGTTGTCAATTCTATACATCCATTTGCTTATTTGCTTTTTTTAACAAGCCACAATAACATTGACAAATACATAGTTTTGGAAGAGCCTACCTGAAACTATACGTGACGTGAGACGTGGCTCCACGAAGGTAATAACGTCAAAATCCGAATTCGCGCTCCCTAAAATAGTTGCATCAGACTTTGCTTGAATTTTCTGGACACAAACACACGGCATTTTTGCTCAGATTGATTGAGAATCAATAAGAGTCACTATCTCAATAATTTAAAATGTGAAAATTGTGTGTCTGTACACTAAGAATCAAGTAAAACGCAAAGCAAATAACATACACGTCCGCTCAGCATGACTGTTCTCTGTCCACTGGGAACTATTTCGGGATTTCAGGGATTCATGGGACTAAATCTGGATTTTCAAGGCTATTTCTGGATTATCGAGACTACTTCTAGATTCCCGGGACTATTACGTAATTTTCGAACATATTTCGTAATTCTCGTCGTATTTATCGATTTACATATCGATATATTTATGAATATTTTTGTTATCCATATCGATGTTTGTATCGTTATATTTATGGATATTTACATGATTATATTTATCGATATATCTATCATTTTATTTGTCGATATTGGGACTAATATCGAGTTTTTTGGGAGTTTCGGGGCTATTTTGGGGTTGTCCAGACAACCGC